TTCTTTAAGACTTCCTTATTGATCACATTTTCAGTTCATGGCATTCGCAGCATTCTTTGACTTTGATCTCTTCTTCATTTACTGCCCTAATGGAGGACGGAGCCTTAAAGTTGAATGATGTCGATGACGACATTATTTTTAACATCCCTTTCTTCTCGTTAACTTATGCTGGGATTTTCTTAAAATTTGTACTCAAACAAAATGTATCAAAATATGATGATATTTTCCCTGTATGACATCAGTCCTCCTCTATGGCAGTGAATGTTGGATAATCTTCTCGCGGATGAAGAAGTGCCTTGCAGCAACAGAAATTTTGTTTTACCGAATGAAGTTGAGAACACCATGGACCGAACATGTGAGTAACAATGAAGTTTTGGAGTAAATGGAAACAAAAAGGATACTTATACATAACATCAGGAAGAGACAGTTGAAATTTCTAGGGCACATAAAGAGGAAAGAGGACTTGGAAAATTTGATACTTACAGGACACACTGAAGACAAGAGAGACAAAGAAAAACAAAGCATAAACTCTCTAGTGAACAATTGAGAAAATAGATGGCGGAGCAAGGTTTACGAGAGATAACAAAAAGATGAAATATATTAAGAGCTACAAAGGTCAAGAAATTGTGGAGAGCCATGATCGTCTACGTTCTAAAAGAACGCGATACATAGAAGCTAAAGACAACGTAAATAACGATTGAAAAATATCAAGAAGAAAGAATCTTTTAAGTAAGCTTATGATAGATAAATGTTCGATTACCTCACAAACAAAACCAATGAGTAGCAACTTCAATCCCAGCATGGTTATACCTACATGTCTCTTGAAAATAGCAAATGTCTACTATTTATTTCAAAGAAAAATGTTGAATGTTTACTAGCTTTCATTCTCTTTTTTCCCGTCACTCCACCAGAAGAATCCCGATAGGAAGATGGACAAGATCAAAGATTCTCATTGATTTATTTCTACTGTTCTTGTTTGTTGTTGAAGGGCCATAAAACCTCTGTCACTGTCGATTAAAATAGAAACAGATGTGAAAGAATAAATCAACATTTATTTGTCCAAAATGGCAAACATGACTAGTTTATGATTCATTTTTTTACTAATATATCTTAACTTCATTTGCTTTTCATCGCAGAGAGTCACTCAACGGCCCTTAGGAAATAGCGCGAATCATATATAAGGCAAAACTCAAGCATGTATCCAGATTTTGCTTAGGAATCTGTTGTGGAGTAAATATCCGCGGCAACACAAATAAACTAGACAATACGGCTTAATTAAAGAACTCAAAAGTCCATCAAAGGCAGAGCCGGGCTCGCGATAAGACAAGACCTTTGTATTCGGGCAGAGAGTGACAAGATCTCCGTCTTCAGGCGGAGGATGACTCAGTCAGGGTTCTGTATTCGATACTCGACTGAGAAAAACAGTCAAGTTGGAGTCAGGAAGTTCGCTGCCTGGCTTGCTACAGACAAGCCCTCTGTCTTAGAGCAGAGGGTGACTCAGTCAGGGTTCTGTCCTCGGATAGAGACTCGCCTGAGAAAAACAGACAAGTACTGTACCCGAGTTCGCTTTTGCGGGCGTTGGGCAAATATGACCTGTGTCCCGGATGGAAACGCTCGTGTTCCCCACAGTAAACTTAACCTTTTGTTGCATCTAGTCCGAATTAGAACGACCAGTAAATAGCAGTCCGTCGGAGTCAAGCTGTCAAGTTCTCAATCTTCAGGTAGACTGGATTGAGAGAATTGTCAATGCAAAATGCTCGATCCCACGTTGGCTGGGGCTGGGTAAATTTTATCCTTTGCCCGAGTGTACGCGCGTGGGTTCCCCACACTAAATTTGAGCTTGTGTCACACCTCGTCTCAATGGGGAGACTGGGTAAATAGACGTCTGTTGGAAGTAGTCGGATATAATTTTAGTAATGTCACGGCAAGTAACCTAAGCAAGACATAATGTTATAACCGCTAAGAGTAGGTTATAACAGAAGCCTTTTCTTAAGCAGCTGCTTACATTTTTGCCTATAAAATATTTACGTTTCACGTAAAATTACGTTTAAATACTTAAACTCACATTTTATCTCTTTACGTCCGCCATGTTTAATGCTATTGTTTTTAAATTTACTTGAGTTTCAGATAGACGAGAGGGTTGGATTTATTGATTGTATTGTTTGTTTGTTTTTTTTTTTTTTTTTTTGTTGTTTTTTTTTTGGGGGTATGGCTTAATAACACTGAGTCTTATCTGAAGCCGAAATATATATTTGGGTTTTTTACGAATATATTATGATTAGTAAATATTTTCGTGATATGGATATTCCCTTCATAGCATTTTCAGTATCTTTCTTTACTCAAGTCTCCTCTTCATTGGCGAGGAAATTTTTCAGCATTCATTGCCGTATAGGATGACTGATATTATACCGTTGTACAGTTCTCTTCTTAGTTTCTAAAAATTTGTTCATATTACTTAGTACTTTATTTTGATTTTGGAAGGCATCATCCTTCAATCCAATGCTCCTTCGTATTTCGATATCCCATTTTCCTTCTTTTGTTAATACACTTCGCATATATTCAAAAATTCGAACTCGCTTGATTATGATATTTCCAATTTCTAGCACACGCCTCTTGGGTTGTCCTTCGTACTTATAACTATAGATTTTGTCTTCCTTTCTCATGATTAATCCATTTTTCCCACTTTTACTTTATGACATTGTGCGTGTTCTTATTTTATATTATTAACATTGTGTTGCCCGATAGTAAATCCGGATAGGACTTCTAGTTTTCTTTAAAATGCATTGCTGTAATGGTTGAATAATTGTGTGGTGTGAAAACAAATCCTTTTGTTACTCCTTTTTATTTTTGAGTACTTGATATTGACTAATCTTTGTGCAAGCCAAAATACGATTGGAGAGAAAGGCATGATGTAATGCTAATTATTCAAGTGAGAACTCTATGATTATCTGAAAGAAGAACGAAAGTTATGTCAGACTTTTACCATGAACACAGATTTTGGTTATGAATTGGGAAAACAGAAATATTTTAGAAAGTTGTTAGGACATACCATTAGTATCTGTCGATCTTACAATACCGTACAAAAATCAATTCTAACACCCTGGATTCTGAAGTAAAAACACAATGAAAATTAATCTTCCACGGAAATTTTAATTACATAGAACTGTAATATGTATATGTATTATACTATCGTCGATATAGACCAATAATAACTTTCACTGTCTTAATCGAAAATGTTTTATTTTCCTATTCAGCTTACTGCTAAAGTAAGAAGATTGATGACAAAGAATCTCTTCTGAGATATTTTATCAGCTGCATCAAGAATGTTTTCGTATTCGACTCGTTTCCAAACCATTTATGTATGTAACGCATAATTTGGACAGCGTGATTTTCCGATGCATTGTGAGAACAAACAACGTGAGAAATGATGCAATTTTAAGCAGAACAGGAACTGGAAAGAAACCTTCTAACAACCAGAAATAAAAAGCACAGCACAACACATGAACGTATCTAACACGGTGGTCGACTAAGAAATGTTTCCATTCGGGTTAACTCGGTTCGTCCCGGTTCGGCAATGTTCGAGAACCGAAATTTTAGTTGATAACCGAGTCATTTTCATTGCGAATATTCTGTTCGTAAATAGTTTTATTCGACATGTAAGACGTTCGGGAACCGAAGTTGCTCTGTATTGCCCAATCTTTTGAAACATCATGTAAAATTCACACTCACAAGACACATCGATGGTAAAAGAAATAAAGGAATGTTTGTACAAGTTTCAGCAAATGGAAAGAGAGATAAATGTTGAAGTGACTTGGTAAAGCACCAGCTATTGCTGGAGGCAAGCCAAAAAGGGGAAGCTGTAAAGGCAGTGAACACCAACGGCATATTGAGAAATGACTTAGAGCAAATTTCCGAACATTCAATCTTATGGAATCCTATACGGATGAAATCGAATTTAATTTTGTCACTAAACAACGTTGAGAGTATATATGTTCTATAGTTGGCTTAAAACAGTTCCCTCTCAGCATTATAATTACTAATTGTAGTAAATTGAAAGATCTTTTTTTTTACATGATGTTTCAAAAGATTCAAATGTAAATATCTGCGAAACTAAAAAGTCTAGACAAATGAACTAAACAGGATTATCATTGGGAAATACATAGCAACCTCGGTTCTCGAACGTCCTCACATGTCGAATAAATCTGTTTTCGAACAGAATATTCGCGATGAAAATGCATCGGTTATCAAACAGAATTTTAGTTCTCGAACAACTTTGCCGAAACGGGCCGAACCGAATTAATCCGAACGGAAACATTTCTTAGTCGACCGCCATGTTGGATACATTCCTGTGCTGCGCTGTGCTTTTCTTTTCCAATTTTATTGTACTGTGCCTTTTTCCTCAGTCATAGCTGCAAAGAAAGCTAGCAGTGATACTGGTAAAAGAAAAAGAAAAGGGAAAAACAATTATTGATAATATTGTCTCTTCCTACTCAGTTTAGTATGGAACAATCCACGAACTATACTATTCTTATAAATAAAGAGACGATCATGTCTTTCCTTCCAATTTCCAAACAATAACATCTCTTTCCGTGCCTTCCCACTTATGACATCAACTCTCTTTCATGCGGGTACGGTAAAATTAAAATGTTCGTCTATATTTAATCTGTTTTGTATTGTTTTTCTTTTCTTTTTTTTTCGTAGATTTAATGATTTTCATTAATTCTGAGTATAAACTTGTGCACAAAGTACTGTAAAAGTTTAAATAAGCAATCATCTTGTGACCTGGTATGAATTAATCTACTTTATATTGATTCCTATTGGAAAAATAATTTTGGTTTACAAACATTTCGGGTTACGAACGGACTTCAGGAACAAATTAAATTCGTGAAATGAAATTTCACTGTATAACATTTATTCATAAAAATTTGAATGCGAAATTAGAACGTATGCGGATTCCATAAACGATTTTAAAGATTTTTAATATGAACACCTCGTATCATATGAACATCTCGTGTCATATGAACACCTTGTATCATATGAACACCTCGTGTCATATGAACACCTCGTGTCATGTGAACACCTCGTGTCATGTGAACACCTCCTGGGACTCGACCATATCTTCTGAAACTGGTGAGTCTTCCAGATCCTTTTGACCTGCATAGGCAAGTTTCCATTTTGAACTTTTTGTGCCATGTCCAAATCTGCATTGAAGTTGGGGCCCTTTTAGCAAATTTTCTCGCAAATTCAGAATTTTTTCGACTGTATTTGAGCATGCGCAAAGACAGTAAGTGTTTTTTTGTTTTCCAGTGAAAGGCATTTCGATACCTGAAAAGATAAAAATAAAGATCGAATTTTGTCTTGATTCTAGACATGCTGTTAAAATTTCAGATGATTTGAAATGGTTAAGTTATTAAATTAGAAAATAACAATCATTCTTAAACCCCCTGTACTTCCCTCGCCCCTAACCATCAACATCAGATATCCTAGGTGTAGGATTCTAGAAAACGTTTTCTCGTATTAATACTTCTTATACTTTCTCTTTTACTCTTTCTCTCTTTCTGTTTAGTTTTTTTCCTTCGCTCTCACTTTCATTTCCTCCTTTTTTCTATCTCTTCCACTCTAGTATATTTTTCCTCTTTCTTATACATCTTCTCTCATTAGTTATTTATCATTCTTTTTATCTCTTTATCCCTGTTCGATTTCTTTTTCTTTATTTCATTCTTTATATTTTTACTTATTTTTCTTTATATTTTTCTATTTATATATATTTTCTCTTTTTTCTTTCTTTCTTTATCTTTCTTTGCTTTCTCTCCCTCTCTCTCTCTCTCTCTCTCACTCACCCACTCACTCACTCATTCACTGTCTTTTTTCTGTTTGTTCCGCTTTTTTCTCTATTGTTCTCTCTCAAACAAATGTTTCCCTTTCCCTCATTCTTTCACTTTTTCCCACTATTTTTTCTCGTTTTTCCTCTTTCCTTTATATTTTATTTTCTCGTTCTCTATTCCTCTCTCTGTCCTTTTTCTTTCATTTTCTTTCTCTCTTGCTTCATCTTTCTATCATCGCTATCCATTTCCTGTGTTGTCATTTTTTTCGTTTTTTTTTTCCTATCTTTCTCTACCATTTTTTCTCTCTTTGCTCGTTCTTTTACCCCTCACAGCATTTCGCTGTTGAAGTCTTTTAAAGTTTTGATTATAATCGCTTCTCCTTCAAAGCATTAAAAATAGAAATTAATTGGTTGATAGCGGATTCCGTCTTGCATACAGTGTATTTCAAATAGATCAAAAGAAACCGATAAACAGAAAAACAAACGCATGACGACAGAAGAGAATAATTATAACTCACCAATCACCAGCGAAGAATTTGACACGTGATTTAAAACATAATCCTCACAATGTGAACAGGAAAAATATTGTAAATTTTAAGGAATTTATGGACATTTCATTTACAAAGTAAGCTGAAAATAGATTTGCACTGTGTAAGTTAGGACAGAAGAACACACTTGGTAATTGGTAGTGTACCACACGTGCTCAGTTCGCATTAAAAATTTCCAGAATACTTACATTTATATCTAATTGTACATGCTCCATTCGAATCTGGCTTGATAAATATGAAAAAAATGTACCGTTTTGGAGTTATCGACAATGAAATTTTCGATTCATTGGCGTCATTGGCTGCAGCCATTACTGGTGTTGTTTGCATACATTCGCTACGGAAAGCTAAACACGGAAGACTACGGAAAATTAAGTGCGGGACTAATCATTCTTGTTTATTTATGTAGACACATTCAGTTTGTGCAATAATATCTACACTGTTAGCTATTCTGCAGCGAATGTATGCAAACAACGCCAGTAATGGCTGCCCACGACGCGAATAAATCCGAACTTTCACTGTTGATAACTCCGAGACGGTAGATTTTATCATATTTCTCAAGCCAGATTCGAATGGGGCATGTACAATTATACATAAATGTAAGTATTCTAGAAATGCTTAATACGAACTGAGCGAAGGTGTTATTCTGCAAATGAACCGAACAACTTTTGCTGAAGAATAAATTTCTGGAAAAAGAAAAGGTAAAAGTAATTTATTACTTTCTGTAAAATATTATCTAACACAGTTGTATCATTACATGTAAATAATACATGAAATACTGTCTATTCTTTGATGATTTGAATGTCAAATAATTTTTTTTTACATTTGTGTCTGTATGTTGATAAATTTCTCTTCTTTTGTGCATGTGAATTTTTCATATGGAAGATAATGTTTTACTTTTTACAATGAGTTTCACCCTTTCCATGCCCAAGTGCAAGAGGTAGATAGTTATAGGTTGTGTGGCACAGTTTTATGGGGATATATGAGTTCGATGTTTTTCAGAAGACTGGATAACTCAGAGTAGTTAGCGAAATTTACAGAAAACCGGGCCTTAAATCAAATATTACACTTGGCTAAAAAAAGTTATTTTTTCTTTTTTTTTCTGTTTAATCACAATTTAAGGAGATGACACAAATTGGTTTGATCGTTCGATTTTGCTCAACTACACCCGTTCTTTCTCTAGGCCACTCTTTGGTCAAACAATTAAAAATGTAAGAATTCAAATTTCAATGTCTCTGATACTTGGCTTCGCACAAAGAAATATAACTTCATTTCTATATTGATCTTTTAAGTGCAGTTTAAAGTGGCACAGAGCTAAAAGTATGAAGTGTCATCGAGAAACGAACTCATAGCTTAGTCGTAATTGTTCTAGCGAGCCACGCTCGTTAGACATTACATCACATCAAGATACCCAAGAAATTCAAATCTACAGGAAGTAAGCTCTGCTACAGACACGTATAAAGAAGCCAAAGAGTTGTAAGGCATTACTGAAGTTACAATATCCCAATCACTTTGGAAAAGTTATGGAAAGCTAGATCAGACTATCATGTGTGAGTAGTAGGGTTTAGGTATCTGTGCGTAAGGTTGTATGGACGAAACGATTTCGTACTACAGGCATAAATCCATCTTTTCTAAACATTGCAAGTTATGGGTTAAATAGTAAGGTAAACCGCGTGGTAATCCGACTAGGATAGTAACAATGAACGGAAACTGTAGAAAAGATAGCGGGGGTCAAAGCTTCCCAAAAAGAAGTCGTCGCAATTATTAGATAACAATTAGATAATAAAAAATAGAATTTACAGAGGAATATGAACAATAAAGTCATGAATAAATATGTTTCTAAAAGAACTCTTTAAAAAAACTCTTAGAAATAAAAAAAAAAAAACGGTTTTATTAAGCTTCAACAAAGTTGAGGAAAAAGTAAAAGAATCTACAACATATATTTTTAGGGCTAGTGTCTCCAAAGTTCTTAAGAGCTCAGGTGAGGAAAGAATGTAGCAGATTTGCGTCCCGGTAAGAAAGAATATATAACATTTAAAAAGAAAGCTTGTTTCCCTTCATTTTAAACCCCAACAAAATCAAAACTAAAAGCTTTCAGGAATCGTTCCGGACAAGGTCAAATAAACCAAAACTTGAAACACATTGATGAACGCACAGAAAACAAAGTGGTAAACGTTTCTGCTACCAAACTTTCTAAAATGTTAAATACATTTATCTGCCGTGTCTTTTCAGGACTTAGGCGATCACGGCTTTCTACAACTTCCTGTCCATTTCAGATGTCAATAATTTTTGCTCTTTCTGTTATTTCTTCTGTTCCGACATCTATTTACTCAAGCGCATTAAGTACATTACACGTTATTTTCCTCTGGTCCATTTGCCCTCTATTCATCCAGTGTGTATCAGATTTTCTAAGCCCTCTTTCCTCATTATGCACCCCAGAAACCACAACTGTCTCTTCCTGAATGTAAGTATTAGTTTCATTTTTAGTTTCCATTTTCTCCAAGATCCAAGATGTTCTGTCCACGTTATGCTCAGTATTCTTCTGTAGAACCACATTTATGTTGCTTCAAGTCTCATTTTCCTCTGAAGGAGATCGCTGAAGACCCACTGCCATAAAAAAGGACATATATCACATAGCAGTTTAGTACACTTTGTTTCTATTGAAAGCTTATTTCTTACTACTTTTGGAAAGCTATATTGGCTATCCCAATATGCCTTTGGATTTTAGTGTCGTTCTTTCCGTCCTATGTTTCAAAACTTCTCATATATTTTAAATTCTGCACTTGTTTGATTTTGGCACCTCCGATTTGCAAGTTCGGACTCACCCCCTTGCTAACAAGCATGCATTCCGTCTTCTTGCATTTGATGTTTAGTCCTTTCTTTTCGCTTTCTTTCATACCTTCTATGGAAGATTTTGTAGTTTGCTTTCTGTGTCTGCTGTCACCACTGTCTTGTCTTTATACCTTATGTTGTTAAGATTGTGGCCACCAATAAAGATCCTGTTAGGACTTCTAGCTCCCTCAGTATCTTCAATACCGGTATAGGTTTTTCATTATTCTAATATATTTCCCAAATATATCAAGGTTGTGGCGTACCTTATCGAACGCCATTGTGTAATCTGTAAAACACGGGTACAGGCCCTTCTTCATTGTATTGCTGTTTCTGATAACACCCTGAGAATAAATGTTGCGTTCCTTGTTCCATTGTCTTTGAGAATCCCCCCCACTGTTATTTCCCTGTTTCTGGTCTGCGCTCTCTATTCATCAGAATTCGGATTATCAGGTCCATTATGTGTCTCATTAAGTTGATTGTCCGAAGAAGTTCGCATTCTTTTGCACCGGTCTTCTTAGGCAGTGCTATGAAAATAGATCTACTAAGGTCTTCCGGTATATCACCACTTTTAAATATTTCATTTATTATTTCTTAGATGTTTTTTTATGCCGAAATCGTTTAAGACCTCCAACATCTCTATATTCCAATTCCGTCTGGCCATTTTGTTTCTGTTCAATTTGGCCAATGCTGCTTCCACTTCAGATTTTGACATTTACGGTCCGCCGATATTTCTGCCGTTTCTTCTGTTTCATTGTTCCGAAATTGGACTTTATGCATCATGTTGATGATCGCGTCTTTTGCCTGTTATTTCTCTTATATTTCTATTAATGTCTGCTTTATTTGTGATACTCATCCTTTTATTTCGTTGAGTCACTCCTATTTACACTGCCTGCATTTGTTCTTTATTTCATAGTGTTGTATATTTTTCTCCATGTTTTAATGTTTTGTCGCTTTTTCATCATGTCGAGAATTTCATTTGTCATTCATTTATTTTTTTTCTTCGTCTACAATCCTTTGGGATTCAATTGATTGATACTGTTTCTAAAGCTCTTAAAGTCGCGTTTAAATTTTTCTTTTGTTCTTTGTATCTGCTTCTCACACTGTCCATATATTTTTTTTCCTTTAGACCCGTATCCTTTAAGAGCCTGTCGTATGGCAATTTGGGTGCTGCCTTAGTTGTTTTCAATTTCCAGTTTCACTCTAAGCTTACATATTACTAGAAGATAATACCTTCCACAGTTGGTTATTGAATATATTTTGCAGTGTAAAACTGTTTTCTTGAATCTCTTGTTTGTAGTTATATAGTCCCTCTGGTTCTTTGTTTCTTCTCCAGGTCTTTTCCATGTCCATATTCGTCTTGGATGTGTTGAAACCAGGTGTTGGCTATGACCTGGCCATTCGGCGTACACCATTGAGACCATTTTCCTCCGTGTTCCTTACGGATTCCTATTATGAATTTTCCAACTATTTCAAAATCCCTCTCGTTACCTACTATGGTATTTAAGTCTCCCATGACAATTGTGATTTCTTTCCATTTACAATGGGCCTTGGCGTTGTCTATCATAGAGAAGACCTTTAAAATGTCTTCTTTGTGCTGTTCTAACCTACGCAACCATTGATTGATATGTTGAAAAAATTTCCCTTTCAGTTTAACAAGCATTCAGTCAGATAACTGACAGTATCTCAAAACGTATTTCCTCATATCTTGATCTAATATCAATCCTACTCCTCTTTCATTTTCTTTCCACCTGCGTGTATGATCCTGTGTTTTTAACTGACAAAATCTCCATTGTTTGCCCACGGGGCTTCGCATACATTTAATATGTTCATATTTAACTAGCACATTTCTTGATTTATATCTTCTTACTGTCCACATTTTTTTAATGTTCTAACATTCCATAATAGTATTTTGTCTGATCCGAACAGTCGCTGGGTGACGGTCATGTCTTCCCTTATCGAGCAAGGGGTCAATCCGATCAGTATGACCACCTCTACGCTGTTTGGGTTAACAGTTGCT